CAGCCCATTTGTCTGTCTTAGAAAAAATAAATAGGTAACATTAGCTGGGTTTTTGTTTTCATTGCCAGATTCCTCTGCCACTTCATTAAAGTGCTATTTATTCGTTGTCTAAATTCATTTACAGAGTGGGGGAGAATGCATTATGTAACAGTGGGCCCAGTTCCAAGCCCAAGTCATTTCCTAGGTGGCTACTGTTTAAGATAACTGTTTTGTGGCTTGAAGCCTTTGGGCTGGGGAGGTGGCAGTGGGTGGTGCAGGGTGGCCTGAGGCAGAGAGTGGGACCAGGGAGGGTCTTCTCCAGCTCTTTATTTTGTGGCCTCATCGCTACTGCTCAGCAGCAAACATTTACTCAGAACCTTCAGTCTCGGTCTGGAGATTTTTCTCTAGTCTTATCATACTCACACACTAGCACTGGTTTATTAGGAATGCTCTGGCCCTAGGAGTCAGTTGTGTTTGTAAGACTTTGTAACTTATCTAGGAATGCATTTGAGTTCACAAGAGGAGGGTCTTCTCCAGCTCTTTATTTTGTGGCCTCATCGCTACTGCTCAGCAGCAAACATTTACTCAGAACCTCAGTCTCAGTCCAGGGATTTTTCTGCCAGGGGCTGAGGGTGTGTTCAGACACAGTCCAGGAAGAACGCCACTTAGAAAGACAGATAGTGCGAGTGCGCTGCCTGGGTCCACACTGGTTTTCTTTTCTTCCTGCTCCCACCATCTGAGCAGGCTTCAGCCTCATGGATATCAGGCTGGCCTGTCCTCAGAGGAAGTGGCCCGCAGACTGGGTAGGCTTCATAAATCGCAGGGTCTGAAGCAGAATGCAAATGTGGTTGTCTGCTGGGCTCAGGGAGTCAATCTCCCCTTTCTACAGGCCTGCCACTGCAATCCGTGGTGGGCAGGAAACCCCAAGAGATGGCAGCCACCACACTGGGCCACTCTTGGTACACAGATCCAGGGTTGTGTGGGACCTCCTGCTGAGTCACCAGCAAATGTCCTTTAGCACTGCTGGTCCTGGAAGTACAGAGTGGCTACCACCATACGTCTCCCTGAGATGCTGCAGGGTGCATGCCCAGCCCCTCCCCTCCGCTCCCTGCAGCAGTGCCCCACCAATATGACCCTGTCCTCTTGAGAGTAGAGTGGCATGGGTGGAAGGGCCCAGACACTGGGGCAGAGCAGCAGGTGCCTGAAAGCCCCTCCTAGCAGGTGGTGGGAAACGGGACCTCAAGTGAGCGGAGCTCCAGACCCCAGTGTCTGCTCTGTTGTGTCTTCAGATCTCATTGATAAAACACAGATTCAGAGATAAAAATATTAAGAACTGAAGATGGCAGCCACATAGCACTTGAGTGGAGGCCTTCAGAGGGCAAGGCCTTTAGGAATGCAGGACCCTTTGGGACTCAGATTCCCATGAGAGGTGACTGTTGTTTAGTTTGAGAGCCATCAGTGAAGCTAAGCTAGGCAGCTGGGGCTCAGGTGTTGGAGCATGAAGGGGCACAGCTCCCCTGGGCAGATGGTAGGCAGCTCTCTGGGGAAGAGGGGCTGAGGGCTCAGCTGACCCAGGAGATCTTTGTTCCAAAAGCACGTGCTGGATGGAAGATGAGTGGTGGGGGGACTGAGCTTCACTCCTCCGGGGTGTTTGGGGGACGGAGACTCTACTTCTAGCCTCAGTTTAGTCAACTATAAGATAAAAGCAAACTCGACAAGCATGGGGATAGGGAGTAGAGGAAATAAGGAGTTCGGAGATGCTTTTTTGCAAGGTGCTTTAGCTTCCTGGAAAACTGGTCCCCCTAACTTTCGTCAAGATGTGCGTGACCAGTTGACTTTGATTTTGACTGCAGGAATAGGGAGGGGGGAGAAAGACTAGATGATTCTTAAGGCCCCTTTTAACCTCCACTTTTTGTTTCACTTGTTTTGTTCTAAGCTACAGAATTTCCAGGCTGTGTGTCGTGAGAAGTTGAAAAAGAAATGTTTTCTTTATCATTTTCCCATAATACGGGAATAACTTCTTTTCTTGAAAATATATAAAAGGATTGTTCCCCCATTGTCCTCCTGAAGGGGGAAAGCCGAGAAAGAAGAAGGAAGGAAAATCTAGGCCATTTTTTGAAGTGTATTACTTAAGATACAAAGTCATTTTTGTCAAATGAAGAAAATGGCAATGAATTTAGGGACCCTTGATCATTTTTTTGTCCTCTTAGAAATATTCTTTCTTTAATCTTAACTTCTTAAAAATGCAAAATGATCTTTATCACCAAAATAGTATATATAATACATTCAGAAAAGATCGAATAAGTACCTACTGTGTTTTAAGTACTGTGCTAGGAGCCAGGGGAACTAAAGTAAGAAATGGTCCTCACCCCCAAGCACCAAAAAGTCTAAAATTATGTTGTTTGAATTAATTTTTGTTGTTAACTCATGTTCTAACCTGGACTAGGTTTGTATGTCTCTCAATGCCTCAGTTTACCCCACACCCCTTAAAAAAATGAAGATAATCATAGTGATGGAATAAAATGGTGAAAATAGCATCCCAGATGGAGTAGAATCTCTATTACATTTTGCGGGTACATCTCAGAATGTGAAATTAAGGAGATTTTGTGAAGTTGTTTTGGAAAAAGTAGGGGACATTGGCATTGACATTAGAGGTGGGGAGAAGAATGTCATTTAGAATCCCTTGTACAGAATGCAGAGGGCCATTCTGCGAACTCACCAGGAGTAGGCAAAAGGGACAGGGTCACGAACTCCAGGGCACACTCGGGATCTGTGCTCAGAACTATTCAGATGGGTGGTTGCCCCACAATCCACTGATGCCCCCTCAGCTGTCAGAAAGTCTTGATGGCCTGGATTTTGGTTCTAGGGTATTTTCTTGCTTTCCAACCCAGAAGCTGCTGGGATTCATTTACTTGATTGGGAGCTAGAGAATAGGCAAGGGCTTCATTTGCATTGCCTATCCATTCCATACTTCTTGGTGAAGGAATTAACTTTTTTTTAAAGAAGACACATTAGCATTGTCCTTTATGAAAACCCTAATTAGGGTGCATTCTGAGATGTACCTGCAAATGTACCTCCGTCATCCAGGATAGAATACAGTGGCATGATCATAGCTCACTGCAGCCTCAAACTCCTGGCCTCTGTCAATCCTCCTGCCTCGGCCTCCTGAATAGCTGGCATAACAAGTATACGCCATTGCATCTGGCTAACTTTTTTTTCTTTTTTTTTTTCTTCTAATTTTTTTTTAGTGTAGAGACAGGGTCTTGCTGTGTTGCCCAGGCTGGTCTCCAATTCCTGGCCTCAAACAATTCTCCTGCCTTCGCTTCCCAAAGTGCTGGGATTCTAGTCAGGAGCTCCCACACCCATCTGTGATTTTTTTTTTCTTTAACAGAGTTGGTGTGCTCCTGTACAGTGTCGCTCTAACTTTGATCTGGGGTTCCATCTGCATCCTGAAACTACATGGTGTTCAATTAACTTTTAAAATAAGGTCATATCTGTGAATCTTGATAAAAGCTGTGAAATTTGGCTTATGTATATCAGTCATGGAAATGTGAGAGTACTTTTAATAAAATATTCTATTAGTACATTTGATTACAGCTCATCTGTTACTGACTCTTTATCTCGCACTCTTTTTATGAAGAAGTTGGGCTGAGATAACAACCGTTACCATCCCTACCACCGCCACTCATTACTGAGCATGTACAATACTGTCTGTGGGGTGGTGTTTATAATGATTAGTTCTTACAAGAACTTTATGATCTTGCTGATATTATGTCATTTTGCAGAACTTAAGACTCGGGGAAATTAAGTACAAAATTATACCACAGCATGTAGCTGAACTGGAACTTGAACCTCCGTCTGACACCTAAGTTCTTTCTCCTGTGCTACCCGTGATCTCTTCATCTCTCTAATAAGGTTTCAGGGTTTTTATAAAGGACAATGCTGAGGAATGCTCTCGGTGCGATACACATCACCTTTGCCCCCACCTCTCCCTTAACAAGTGGAGTGGAGAGGCGGCAGCCCATCTTTGGTGTCTGAGCTGCTCTGTCTTGCAGAGATGTGCTTTAAATCTTCTGGGACCAGCTGGAGCCCTTCAAGGGAAGGCAGGAAGGGGTCTGGGTGGGAAGAGCTGCTGGAGGGCAGCAAAGCAGAGGAGAGAACATGGTTTCTGGAACCGGGAAGACCCGCTCTGTCTCCTGTGGGCAGGTCTCTCCCTGACTGAGGTGAAGAGCCCCAACCTGGTGGGACTGAATAAACGACAGGCAGGATAGGAAGTCTAGCAGGGGTCCTCAAGCTTTTAAAACAGGGGGCCAGTTCACTGTCCCTCAGACTGTTGGAGGGCCGGACTGTGGGCCCCAGGACGAGTCAGCTGCTAAGCAGGACAGGCAGCTGCAGCAAAAACACCCGGCGGGCCGGATAAATGTCCTCTGTGGGCTGCACGTGGCCCGCGGGCCATAGTTTGAGGACACCTGGCTAGGGTGTGCACAGGACATTCAGCAATTGGTAGCCGCAGTTGCCAGAAGACAGCGTCTCGCTCCTTCCACAACTTCCCCATATAGACGCTTGTTGACAGATGCATACTCCCGGCCTCTTAATGTTTTGCATACAGTGCGAAAACCCCCAAATTTATTATGTTTAAAACTATTATTTCTGCAAAATTTCTCCTCGCCTTGGTTCTCCCTTTTGTGAGTTTAGATCATTCAGGGCCTCCAAGGACACTGGGTGTCAGCAATAGAGGATTCGTCCCAGCTTATGGCATGTCTGTACGCTGGTTTGAGGGAGGAGGGTGGTGGTGGCTGGGTCGGGCTCTTATCTCACTTGCTCTTTTCTGTGGGAAGTCTCACTGGTCTTCTGCGAAGGCCTGGGCCTTCTGAGAAATCAAAAGGCTTCTTCAGCCGGCAGGCACAGCTTGCACACGAGTGCCCGGAACCCTGCGCCTTTGCCTGTCGGAAGTGGGAGAAGGTTCGTCACTCGCACCCTGGAGCTGTCCAACTCTTGTGTTCTTTGTTCTCTTTTGGCAGAACCAGCTTCTTGCAAAAGGACTGTTCTTTGTGGAGGAGAAGATCAAGCTGTGTGAAGGCAAGTACAAGGCAGCTGTCAAAGATTGGGGCCTCCGTGACTCAGCCTTTGATATTTGGAAGGCTGAGATGCCTCTGTCTGAGTGTGGAAGTCTCCACGTGAGCGACTCACCCATCAGTTTTTTCCCCAGCGAGGGGAAAAAGTCAGCTGCTTGCAGCAGGGACCACTGGAACTGTGTTTTGAAAAATGAAGTGGGGGCCAGGCACGGTGGCTCATGTCTATAATCCTAGTACTCTGGGAGGCCGAGGCAGGTGGATGGCCTGCGTTTAGGAGTTCAAGACCAGCCCAAGCAAGAGTGAGACCCTGTCTCTAAAAAAAAAATAGCCAGGCATTGTAGCTGGCACCTGTAGTCTCAGCTACTTGGGAGGCTCGGGCAAGAGAATCACTTGAGCCCAAGAGCTTGAGGTTGCTGTGAGCAGTGATACCATGGGCATCTACCCAGGGTGACTGAGTGAGACTCTATCTCAAAAAAAAAAAAAATGAAGTGGGATTGGGGCAATTCCTGGGGAGACCTCATGAAGGGGAGGTTTTCTGGAGATGCATGCTGCTGGTCTTGTGTGAAGGGCTGACTCGTGCCGTCCTGTTCCCTCTGCTCTGCCATGTGCTGTTTCCTAATAGGACTTAGTAATGTTTTTTAAAGTCACAGAAGACAGGAGGGTGTCCATTTAGGGGACATAAGACTAAGTAGACACCTACTTAGTGGGGTATGATTTGATGGATAAAGGGAAATTTCTTGGTCTTATGAGATCTTGGAATCTGACTGATAGGTTGGAAAGGAATTGAATGGAGATGGGACATAGTACGAAGGCAAGAATTGGCCTGACCCCACGATTCTACCAAGGGCTACTTCTGAACTCCCGCCTCAGTGGGGTCTGATCACAGCTTGCCACCTACTTCTTGGGTGACTCTTAACCAAAGTTACTAGTTGCTCAGAGTCTCAGTTGTTTTGAGATAGACTCTCAGTCAGTCACCCTGGGTAGACTGCCATGGCATTACAGCTCACAGCGACCTCAAACTCTTAGGCACAAGTGATTCTCTTGCCCAAGCCTCCCAAGTAGCTGAGACTACAGGCACCGGCTACAATGCCTGGCTATTTTTTCAGAGATGGGGTCTCACTCTTGCTTGGGCTGGTCTCAAACTCATGAGGTCAGGCCATCCACCCTCCTTGGCCTCCCAGATTGCTGGGATTAGAGGCATAAGCCACCACCCAACCCAGAGTCTGTTTTTTAAATCACTACTAAAGTGATAAAATGCAGTGAGGGCCTGTGGGGCATATGAAGTGCATCGCTAGCGTAACACCAGACCTGCGCACGGTACATACGCACGTTGCTTCCTCCCTTTTCCCCGCTGTATCCTACTGACCTCTCTCAGCAGGCCAAACTCACTTCTGGGCCCACACTGACTAGGTGTCACGTCGTCCCTTTTCTTCTTCCATTCCCTGGGAAAGCCCCAGTGTCCAGTAAGGTGGATCCTAGAAAGACAAAGTGGGAAGAAAAATGAGAAACAGACCCTGGAAGGTTCAATGCCAGGCACTCAGGAAATGCTCGCCAAACCTTTGGAGGAACAGAGCTTAGAAACGAACCCTCTGATTACATCTATGTAGCCTTTGCCCCCTTGATTACATCTATGCTATGATTTTTTTTTTCCTCTGACCTTGTAAGTACTCACAATCCCAAGGCTTTATAAAAATTTTTTTAATTGTAATAGAAAATACATAACATGTAGCTCTGAACTATTTTGCACTTAAGACGTGTTCACCCCATTCACGTTGTGTGAAAGAGCTCCAGAACTTTATCTTACGAAACTGAAACTCCACGCCAATAGGACGGGTCCCCATTCCCCCCGCTCCTCAGGCCCTGACAACCACAGTTCTCGTTTATGTTGCCATGATTTTGACTCTTCTGGGCATCTTGTGTAAGTGGAATCATACATAATTTGTCCTTTTGCAAGTGGCTTATTTCACTCAACCTAATGTCCTCAAATCCCTGTCGTAGTCTATGACAGGATTCCCTTCTTACTCCATTGTATATGTAATGCCACGTTTGCTTCATCCGTTTATCTGTCAGTGGAAGGCTCTTGTTTTGGGATCACTTGCTTTGACCAGGAACTTAGCGGCTCCTTTGCATTTTGGAGTCCAGCTGCCTGGTAAAGGGAAGGAAGAGCACCATCGTTCCTGGCCATGTTATTTGTATGTAAATCATCTGGTGAGTTATTCCTGGGAACGTGGAAAAGCAGCTCCACAAAAAAATGGACTGAGCAAAACCGGAGATTCAAGTGCCCTTAAAAGGGCAAGTTCAATGTCTCTCACCCAAGTGATCCTCACTCAACACAGCACAGAGCAAAATCTCGGAAACGAGCTAGAGGGGAGAGGAGCAAAGACCTCCTGGGGTTCTGTGCCCTTATGTGGCTGGGGGACACCTGGCTGGAGAATTCTCCCTGGATTCTGAGTGCTGAGACCCTTTGTGCACAGTGGATAGGCATGTGGGGAACCTTCAAGGGATGTCTCTACTTTTTTATTTTGCGTATTAGAACTCCAAGGAAGATTTTATCTGGATAAAAGTTCTCTTGTTATAAAGTCTTGAAAGAACTAATCTGATCTGTCTCATCCCTGAAAAAGCTCCACTTTATTGACACCTTTATTATTTACATCTTTGTGTACTTGTTTGTGTGTGCACACCCCTGATTTATTGCTATAGAAAGGACAGGTGGCCGCTCATGCCATGTGTTGCTGTCTCGTGGACAGGAGGCACCATGTTACAGTAACTCAGTAACCTTTTCTAGAGCTTCTGTGACCTTGACTCTTAGGAAGTTTCTTATACCCACCTGTATACTTCTAGCGATCTGAACTCCTGTGGTACATTAGAAGACAGATTTTATGGAACAATCATCTAGAACCTTCCATCCAAGCCCCTTTCAGTCTTTGTAAGGAGCTAAGTCCTTGACTGATGGGTTGTTTGTGGAAGTGAAGTGGTCTGTTTCCTTTAACTCTTTCTTCCCCAGGGTTACCCTGTTTTGTTAGCCTGGGTCCGTCTGATGTTCTTCTCTGAACACTTTCCAAAACCTCCATCAACTCTGTGAAGTTTGAGGCCAGCAATTAGACCTGGCTTCCTGGGAGGCGCCTTTCTGCTGCCAGGTGGAAGATTACCTCATGTTCATGAAAGTGGGGAGCAAATGGGCACCAGCACTGACCTGCAGGATCCTCTGCCCTTCCCCTCCTCCACATCAGGCAGGCCTCTGCTTGTCTTTGCCATGGAAGGCTTACGATAAGGGCCACCAAGCAAGGAGCTGGAGTGGCTTTTCCCCCTTTTGGATACGTTATCCAGGGGTTGAGTTTACCTTCGTTTTGGGAACCGGGGCAACCTGATATTTCAGATGGCCCCCCTCCCTGCAGTGAGCTAGCATAGCCTACATTTGAAAGAGGATGGTGATTGATTCAGTCAAACTCTTACCAATGATCTGCTACCTTGGCTAGGTGCTGAGGACTTAGTGATGGACAGAACAGTCATAGGATCACAGGCCCTTGTGAAACTCACAAACTAGTCACAGATACAGATGTTAACCCAGGCATCCTCAAACTATGGCCCACAGGCCACATGTGGCCCGCCTAGGACATTTATCCGGCCCGCTGGGTGTTTTTGCCACCACTGCCTGTCCTGCTCAGCAGCCGACTTGTCCCGGGGCCCGCAGTCCGTCCCTCCAATGGTCTGAGGGACAGTGAACTGGCCCCCTGTTTAAAAAGTTTGAGGACCCCTGTATCATCCCAGATATAAAACTGACCAGGACAAGTACCAAGATACGATTTGTAGTACAGGCATTTGAACAGCCGAGGGAGACTTTGCTATCCCACATTTGGCTTAAACGGTAGCCTTCCACTCACCACCCTCAGCATCTGCAAAAACCTATATGCTTGGTACTTTCCACTCATTCATTCAGTATTTTAAAGATTGACTTATTGATGTGTCTGCCACTGTGTTCAGCACAGCAGTATAGTGGTCAGCAGGACAGAGGGGCCCCGTTTTTACTCCCATTCTAGGGAGGAAACAAGTAAATAAGTAATTCCAACAAAGTGTGGTCAGTGCTTCGTATGGGAAAGCGAATGTGTCCTGGGTTTGCATTTTCTCCCTGGTGTATCTCACCTTGGCCTTTCAAAATCTGCGAGTCCTTGGACGTGCTGGCTACTAGTCACGCCCTTGTTCTGTTCTCTCCTCAGTCCCTGCTTTTTATTGCCCATTAAATTAATAGACAGAAGATGCCAAATGCATCTTTTAAGATTTGTGCAGTGGAACTGGCAGCGTCTTGCCAAGTGCATCTCTCAGTGGCTGATTGTGGCTGACCCAGTTTCTCTGCCTAGGATGAGCAGAGACGATGCCCAGTGTCAGCTCTGTTATCTAGGTCATTAAACAGCATCTGCTGTGGAGGCGCCTCTCCGCCAGGGCCCGTCTTTCCTGGGGGTGCAGAGTTCCTCGCGCAGCCTTCCGATGGCATCGGGTGACCCATGTGCTCTAGTCTGGGGGTGTCACTTGGCTAGCTCAGGCTTCCCAATCCTAGAGGTGAGTAGTGACGGTATCAGGAGGCAGCCCTGTGTTTGAGAGGTGTTCTCTTCCGATCCCGGTTACTGTAAAGTACTCAGCAGAGAGGACCATTTCAAGGTCCTTTCTGCCTCTCTTCACTGACAGCTGTAACTCAGAATAAAGTCTTAGTGATTAAGAAAACAAAACCGTTTATAACTGTGCACACCATCATCCCAGATTAGGTTAGTCAAGAGTGTGGACTCTGGAATCCCAGCTCTGCCTTTGAGCTGTGTGACATCGGGACAGTTGCTTGGCCTCTCTGAGCCTGAATAGCAGGGTTAATAGAGGCTTCCTCTGAGATATCTTATAGTGCCTAATAGTGTTGTAACCATCAGGTGAGAGAAGTTACTATGTGGTTTTGCGATGTCAGCTCCCTTTTCTGGACTGGGTATAGAAGGGCGTATTTGCATATTTTCAATTGTGTCTTCCCACCCAATTCCACATTTACTCTAATAATACCTTGTAGATCAAATGTAGGTGATGAGCTGTCTTCCCACCCCCATCCCAATGCTGCCGTTCTCATTCAGGACCTTCCTAGGGAAGTGTGAGTTAGATCCATACGTGCATCCTTGTGACACATAAATGTATTTCTGCCCTGAGAATTTCTGGTGGTCTTAGCCAGGGATAAAGACCTTGTAGCACCACATCTCTGTTCTCTGGGCTTTAACAGCTTCTGGCTGCAAGTTCCCCAGCATGTGCGACTTTCTGTTTTACAGGGAACTACCTTCTGGCCTCTCCTACAAGCAATGACAAGTTCTTTTCTTTCTTCCTCCCCTCCCATCTCGCCCGTGTGTAGGTGAAAATCGCATTGAGGTTCTGGCTGAAGTCTGGGACCACTTCTTCACTGAGACTCTCCCCACCCTGCAGGCCATATTTTATCCAGTTCAGGTCAGTCTCTTTGGGGAACACCTCCTGCTGGCCTCCGCCGTCTGTCTTCTCTCTTGGCCTTGACAGCCTGGGGCCTCCTGGAGAATGGGAGAAACTTAGAGATTGGGCGCTGGCCTTGGTCGAGGACCCTGGAGATGTTTTGAGGGCTCTCTGCTTCTAAATTTAGGACCTAACTTCAAGCAAAGAAGAGTGCTTGCCTAACTAGCAATTTGTAGGCTCTTGTTACCCTCTTGGTTTTGAGTATGTCTTTATATTCTTGGAGTGGTTTGTTTTTCTTAGTTTTCAGAAGCAGAGATGGGGGGGATTTTCTTTTTTCTCTGTCCTCCTGCCTCTCTCCTCCTCCTTTCCCTTTTTTTGAAGCACAGTTTTTAAGTGTATTGCTGTTGCCCTCAGGTCGTGGGAAAGGAATATTGTTCCTTGCCCTCTGACTATGGAAAGCCACATGATGGAGCAGGAGGAACGTGGGGCTAGGAACTGGTAGACCTGGGTTCAGGAATGCTGGCTTGTACAAAACCATTTAACTTCCGTGAGCCTAGCTCCCTCTCGCCTCCTGCAAAACGCGGAATTTAGAGTAAAAGCCGAGTGACATCTCTTTGGTGGTGGTGTTCTGGGACCTCGGCTCATCCTACCACTTGAGTTACTGTCCCTTCTGCGGAGACTGATCCCATGTGGATGGCTGCCAGGTCAGAGTCGCCACCCCTAAGGGGGGTTGACTAATAGTCTGTCCCATGCTGTGGTGAGGTCACTGTCCTGCTCCTCCCACCAGGGTTAAGGCTTCACGTGGCATCGGCTTCACTGAAGTGTGGGTACCATGTGCAGAATCGGAACACAGCCATGGGTACCATTGGAATGACATACCAGAGACAAGGGCCTCATGGATTCTTTGGTCTGAACAGTGTTTAAAGGGATTTGGAATTGCTTAAAATATACAAGGATGTCAAATATTTAAAAAGTGGGAGGTTATGCTTCTAGGTTTCATTTCCCCTTTCAGGCCTGCCCCTCACTTTTCTATCAATAGCTATGGCTAGAAACCTCGGGCCCGCAGCCCAATTCTCTTTCTCATCCCAACTTCAGTCTCACCTGCGCTTATGTGGACTAGGCAGCCCCTGTGCCCGTGAATCTGCCCCTGTCCTTGAAACAGTCTGTTGGCCAGTGGGTCCTCTCTTGGGAAGACAGACCTGGGAAAGGAGGATAGTCGCCAGATTTACAAATAAAAGTTCTAGAAGCTGAGTTACGTTTTAATTGCATATATAAACAATAAGCAAAGCAATAATTTGGGACATTAATTCTAAAAAAAAACCATTCAAATTTAAGTGGGCATCCTGTGTTTTATCGGCAACCTGAGAGAAGGGATGTGCAGGCCTAGGTTGCTGCCAGGGCCATTTGGTCAGGGAGTTCCAGGGTGCAGGTGCCCTAATGGTACTAGAATGGCAGATGTGAGATCTGGGTGGACATGGCCCCAGTACAGTCTAAGAAGGGCAAAGAGGGGGCCCCCCAAAGCCCAGAAATGAGGGTTGAGGGATGCTGCTATCTTACTTGTCTTGAAAAATTATAAGATCCAGCAATAATTGGCATGGCCCCATTCACTCCCTATTCCCTAACCACTGACTTGACCTTTGCCTCTGTGCTCCAGTTTGCCATGACCCTACCTGGCTGGCTTCTCTCTCCCCTGTCTACTCCTGAGGGCATCTGCATGGCCAGCCCTGTTTTATTTGGTGCGCTGAGATGAGACAAGGGTGAGCTACAGTCACTGTGGGTAGGCAGTAGTCAGAGGTGGTGGGGGAGCTCCGTGGTCGACGGGCACCAAAGGAAGTGGGTACTCAGAGGGGGGCAAACTGTGCCTCCTCTGTCCTTGTTTTTCACTGACTTAGGTCCACGTATTTATGATTTTACGGGACTGAGCACATGTAGCTTTTACTCTTCCTTTGTCTTAGCCTGGAGAAACCAGATGGCACATTGGATAACGTGGCCGTGCACTGGTTATTTTTCCGGAAGATGGAGATTGTGAGGGGATGGGTTTCGTTTTGTTATGCCGTTGTTCCCCCAGCCTAACACAAGAACAGAAAAGCCAGTTCTAGGTTAGTATGAATTCTTCCCCTGATTCATTGTGGGCTGAAGAGATGGCTAGGTCTGGTAACAAGTCCGCGCTCTGATTCATGATCCTCTGAGAAAGTAATGATTAACTTGTTTATATGGCAGGCTGGTATAAACTGGGTACCCTACACCCTCCCATAAAAGTATTTTCTGCCAGCGTGAGAGGCCAGATTTTTGCATACAGGAAAAGCCTTTCTGATTTTGGAGAGCACTAAAGGGATTTCAAGATAAAGCCTCATGCTGAGGGAGGATTAATGATGTGAGATATTGGAGCTAATTCTGACATAAGTGGTGTTACTATGTTGCTGTCTGGGCCTGGTTTAGCTTGCCTTGAAACACATGAGGCACCAGGTCTGGATTCATTTATAAATCCAGGCTTTTTCTCCCAAGTGTATAATGTGTAGCCATGGGCTTGGAAGCCCCAAAGGCAAAATCTTTCATCTTCTCCAGGGTATACTTTGTCAGCTCATGCCTAGCCTATACCCAAATGACTGCAAGTACGTCGTGTGATGAGGCAATAGTAACAGAATAATCTGGAAAAGAAATGGGGGTGTAGGGATAGCTCCACCAAAGAACAAAGTAGTTGGCTCATGCCTGACCCAGGTTCACATCCTCAGACTGTCACTTACCACCTTATTTTTTAAATTAATTCATTTATTATTTTGAGACAGAGTCTCACTCCATCACCCTGGGTAGAGTGCTGTGGCATCACAGCTCACAGCAACCTCAAACTCTTGAGCTCAAGAGAGCTTGCCTCAGCCTCCCCACTAGTTGGGACTACAGGTGCCTACCACAATGCTCAGCTAATATTTTCTGTTTTTAGTACAGATGGGGTCTCACTGTTGCTGAGGATGGTCTTGAACCATTGAGCTCAGGCCATCCATCCTCCTCGGCCTCCCAGAGTGCTAGGATTACAGGTGTGAGCCACCCTACTGGGCCTGTCACTTAACATCTTGATAATCTTGGAAAGATAACCTCACCTCTCAGAGCCTTCGTTTTCTTCTATAAAATAATGATATCTACCTCACAGGGGTATTGAAAAGAATGAGAAAATATACTAAAAGCATTTGGTTTATTATACAACATATACTAAGGGCTTAAGAATTGTCACTATCACCATCAATATCATCATCATTATTTTCTGTATAGCCAGTGACCCATTTATTTAGAGATCTATTTTTCACATTTCATGGGCTAAGCAGATGGGTCTGGAATGAGTGATCTTGACCGTCCACTCTCTGCCTGGCAGTGTGCCCCTTAGAGTTGCCTGAGTGAGGCTATGACCTGTATTTTCCTATCATCCCACTTAAAATAGCGTCCATCCAATTGGTGCGAGATACTAGGCTTTCTCATATACCATTGCTGAGACTATAAATTGATGCAATCTTTTTGGAGGGCAACATGGCAGTATCTGTAAGACTTTTTAAAAGCATATTTTAATCAAGCCATTTTCCTTTGAGGGAAAATATCTGGATATATGCTGATAAAACGTACCCAGAGAGACATGAGTGAATTATGGTTTATTAAACCATATAGACTAGGCCGGGCGTGTAATCCCGTGGCTCACACCTATAATCCTAACACTCTGAGAGGCCAAGATGGGTGGATCTCCTGAGCTCACAAGTTTGAGACCAGCCTGAGCAAGAGCGAGACCCCATCTCTAAAAATAGCTGGGCATTGTGGCGGGTGCTTTGTAGTCCCAGCTACTTGGGAGGCTGAGGCAAGAGAATCACTTGAGCCTAAGAGTTTGAGGTTGCTGTGAGCTATGACTCCATGGCACTCTACCAACGGCGACAAAGTGAGACTCTGTCTCAAAACAAAAACAAAAACAACACCCCCCCCCCAATAAATAATAGCATTGTTTGTAGGGGGAAAAAAAGGCATCTTGGACAGGAAATGGTGAAATACAGTGTGTTTATACAGTGGAATATTATGTAGCTTTAAAGAATGAAGTAGGTTAGTATGTACTGGTATGAACAGATGCCCCCAATATACAAAGTTAAACAAAAGCATGTTGTAGAACAATAAGAAGGGAATAATACTCTCCGTGTGTGTTTACAGGTTATATGAGTGATTTTTTTTTTTTCCCGCAGTTTTTGGCTGGAGCTGGGTTTGAACCCGCCACCTCCGACATATGGGGCTGGCGCCCTACTCCTTTGAGCCACATATGAGTGATTTTTATAGGTGGAGGAACTTTCTGGAAAAATCCAGAATACAAATAAAAACCTTTCAGATGGTTACCTGTGGGGAGTGAGAATAAGAGATTGAAGAGCATGTCTGCTGTTTGCTGAACTCTATTAATCTTTGCCTATAAATATCTGTTACCTTATGATTTAAAAACAAAACCAAAAAGAAAAAGGCAAATAAACAAAACTTGTCTCTCTTTGGTGTGCAGTGCTGGGCAGGGAGGAGACGTCCTGGGGCCTTGATGACCTACTAGGAAACTCCTGTAAAATCAGTTCTGGGAAGCGATTTGGTGGCTGTAGGAGCCGGAGGTCCTGGAACTGTCTGCTTTCACCTCTCAGCTTCTCTCTCCAGAATTGCCGTTTAGGAGTGGTTTCTAGAAGGCTGCATGGCCCAGTCTTCCTCCTTCTCTTTCCCCATCCTCTACAGTTTAGGTCAGAGAGTTCTATTGTTTGCTTCCATGGAAGGTTGTGAACAAAAACTGGGTATGTCCCATCCGCTTCCAGCATGGTACAGTACCAAGAGCCCTGGGCCCAGTATGAGGGATGGGGCCTCATCCCTTCACATCAGTCATCAGGGCAATACCCTGTGCCCGACATCTCACAGGTAGTGAAAGAAGTGCCTTGTAATTAAAGTTGCCCATTTAAAGCACCCAACATGATGTCAGCTCCATTTCTAATTATTTTTAGGCCCCTATTTCATAGGAGTCTTGTATAGTCTTTGGGTCATTTAGGCAAGTTGAGTTTTGCCTTATCTTAAAAAAAGTTTTTTTTTAAGGGCAGGGGCTGGGTCTCTGACTCTCTGGAAGACTCGCTGGGCCTTGCAGACCCCTCCTCTTATCTCATTCTGTCCTGTGCTGGGTGCTCTGTAAATATGTGTTGTCCTGGACTCCAAGTAGTGGGTGGAAGATCCAGCAGTGTCTCACCTCCTGGCCCTCCTTGCTCTCTCCCCTCCAGGGCCAGGAGCTGACCATCCGCCAGATCTCTCTGCTGGGCTTCCGAGACCTGGTCCTGCTCAAGGTGAAGCTGGGGGACTTACTGCTGCTGGCCCAGCCCAAGTTGCCCTCGTCCATCGTCCAGATGTTGCTCATCCTGCAGGTGAGGGCCTGCCGGAGATGTGCCCAAAGGCCAAGGGAGGGAAGGAGGGAGGAGGCTGCTGTTCTGGGATGAAGGGGAGAGTCAATGCTTAGTCTAGCATTCTGGACTTGGTCCATGTTCCTTTGTGCATTTGTTCATCTGATGTGCATTCACTGAGCACCTGTTGAGTCCCTGTGCTCAGTGCTGGGATTGGGACCGGGGAGTGGAAGAAACACGGCCTTTCATTCGACAGATACCCTGCCCCGCTCTCTGGTGATGCCCGTGAGCCACAAGTTGAAAGTCACAGTCAAGAATCTACTTTAGCCTCGCTCAAGCCAGATCAGGAGCTCCCTCGAAGGCTGTCAGGACAGATGGGCTTTATAGCCAAGAGTTAGGCCATGTCAGGCCATGGAGCCACCAGCCTTTCTCTGCCTCCTGCTCTCTACATAGATCTGGTCACCTTGTTTCTCTCTGATGCTGCCTCTCCTGGCCTTGCTTCATCTTTCCTGTACTTGGTGTTCTGTGTTTGTTTTGCTCCTGGTCCAGTGTGATCAGTGTCTATTAAGTGAAATTCCAAATCAGTAATAGGAAGATGAATTAATGCTTACTGTCCCTGGCTGTGTGTCAGGAACAAGCCCAGGACTTTTTTGAGTGTGTTGTTTTCTCAATCCAGTAATCCAAACACCCACTTTGTGAAGCAGGCATTGTTATTCCCATTGTACAGGTAAGGAAACTGAAACCTAAGAAGTTTATGTGCTTGCCTGAGATCCCTCAGCTAGTAAAAGGTCGTTAAGGTTGAGAACTACGCACATTCTGCTTCCTCTCCAGAGGAAAGGATCTGATGGGTCCAACTTGAGCTAGCTGTCACGTTTGTCCAAGTCCCTTGGGTGTAGGATCAAGCCCTATAAACATGGCCTTGGCGAGCCCATTCCTCTGGGTGGAGATATGCAGTTCTCTAAGAACCTGCCCAAGAACACGCTTGCGTCACCCCCATGAGGGGACTGCTGTGCCTCCCACCTCTAACTAGTTCAGATGCTGCAGCATCAGCTCTGACCCTGCCCAGGGTAGAGGCCTCATCTTCCGTCAGGCTAGGTGACCCCCCTGCTCCCCACACAGCGTGGATGGAATGAAGGCTTTGGGGCCCTGACTCCCCTATCTCCCCCATCTGCTGTTCTCTCTCAGTCCTCAGCTGGGCCATCCTTTTAGCCATTCTCCCCCCTTCCTGTAATCACAGAGGAAGAAGAGTTGCTTAAGAGGATGAGGGTGGGTGTAATTGGCTGGAATGCCAGGTCAAGCATTTTTATGGAAGAGGAGAAGGGGATAGAAAAATGTGTGTGCAGCTGTGTGTGAGAAGACTGCATTAGAGCTTGGATCCTGAGCAAGACGTCTCGAAAATGAGCCCATTGGACTCCTACCCTCCAGTTTCCATTTATAATATAAGTATTTTGGGAGTGAGAGGTGGTCCCTTTGTGTTTTGGGGGCACAGTGGCAGCTTGGTTTCTTTGAAAGGAGAGTTGGTCCAGTGAGGCAGGTGAAGGCTCCCACTTGCTGATGCTGGAACAGAGGGGCCTGTCTCTATCATGAAAATACCTACCACATTCCGACATTCTGGCTTCACACCAGGCAATGCCATTTGAAAACTGTCATCATCCCCCTGAGCCCCCCAGATGAGTTTGGCTGATTTCCCAGGAGAATATGCCTTCATCTCTCCCAGTCTTGAACCCCTCAGTGAGTCCCTGTTAATTTTAGGAAAACAAACTAGTCTGTACCCAGGCCTTGGTGCTTTTGTGTTCTCAGCACCCAGCGCAGTCTCTGGAATATAGTAGGTGTTCATTAAACATCCTTCAGGGAATGAAGGTGCCAGCTAGGAAGAGTCCGAGGAGGACTGACGCTAGGTCTGGACCTCAGATCCCATGTTGGTGACCGTCATGCAGGGCTTCTCCTCTGACCCAGGAAAGTACAGTCAGAGGCGCTCTGAGGTTGTGGGGAGTTTCTGAAAAGTCAGGCAACAAAGGAAAATGGTATAGACATGATTGTTTTGCCCATTTCACAGCTGACACACGAGAAGAAGTTAGCAACCTGGCTCAGGGGCACGTGCGCATCTGTAAGTGGGCGGGATTGTGTCCCATTCTGCAGTTCTCGCTCTTTCCACCTTGTCTTAGCCTTTCCCAGCTGCGCCCAGGGTCCTGGGAAGTGCCCTGTCAGCTTCTAGGGTGGGGGTGTTTGGCATTGTTTTCTGAGGGCCTCCTGGGGGTCCATGTTCTTCCTCATGGGGGAGCTGTCACTTGTGAGACTGGGAGTGTGACCTCCGGGGATTTGGGTCTTTTCACAGCCCACATTCATCTTCCCGAGCCAAGGGCCTGTAGCCTCTGGATCTGAATGGCCTCCAGGTGGCACTGCCCTGGGATCATTCCTGCTTAGGAAGTTTGGGCCTCAGTACTCAGAACTGGTCCTTCTCTCCCCACTCCTACTTTTCCTAGTACCATGAGGTCTGGGGCTGATTTTTCCAAAAATGCCTGACTCTAGTACAGAGAAAGTTCTTTCTCTGGACTTTTTCTCTCCTTGAATTAGTTCCACCCTTGTCAAAATGCACAAGGGGCTCAAACTCTCTTATCATGGGCGGTGTGCTCTACCCTCAGAGCAAGAGGCTGAACCAGAGATGGTGACCAGTGTGAAGATCTGATCCCTCCCGACTGGAGCAGACCGGTCCTGAGATCACCCTAAGAATGGCACATTCTGATGGGCCCCACCCCACCAGGCCAGCTGTGCTGTCCATGCTCAGAGGACCCTGTTGCTTGGTTTAATCTTCTCCCATCACTATCTTGAAATTAATAGTGAATTTTGAACAAGGAGACCTGTGTTTTCATTTTGCACTGGGCTGCACCAATTTCATAGCCAGTCGCAGCCAAGCCAAGGGCTGAGGGCAGCACCTTCCTGGATTGCTGTGTACCAGCCAAGTTCTCGGCAGCTACTTCTCTGGAAGGAAAACTTCCAGCTCATGACACCTTTTCTTCCCACCTGTCACTGCTGCTCCTGTTTCTGCTCTTTCTCCTGTTTGGCGCTTATGAATGATAGCAGTGAGAGGGATGAGGGAGAAGCCTCTGGTCTTCCCCGAGGGCCTTTTCTTCTGGCCCCTTCTCAGCCCCCACCTCTTGGGGCACAGCACCAGGGAGTTTTGTCTCTTTCCCACTCAGCCGCTGTCCTTGTAGGCCATGCTGAGTGACAGCGTGTCTTCAAGTCCTTTCCAGTGAGAAAGTGCATTCCCTAGGAGTCTGATGGTTTTCTAGAAAACACTGGTTACTGGCCCCTTTCTGCTTTTGACCATTGTGGTCACTGGTTTTAGTCGGTGTTTACTCAGGCTGTAGCTTTGAGGACTCCTGTTGTGCTGGGCTTTTGAAATTGCTCTAAACTCAGAGCTAAAATTGTGCTTAGTTCCAGAATAACTCTCCCTCTCTTTCATTGTCCTGAGCTTGTCCCTATTTTTCCCCCTTTCTTTTCTAGCCTGTCAATAAGTGGCAGTCATTCTACTTAATCTGGATACACCTGATATTAAAATGGGAAAAAATAATATTCTTATAAAGGGGAGATTATCCAGATTAAGCAGAATGATTTTGAAGTATTTCTTCTTTTTCTATTGTCTATGAGATTTGGTATGGTCTGTTTTTGGAAGTTATCTTTTATTTTTATTTATAAATATTAGTTATTTATTTTTTGAGAAATATATTTTTTGATGTTTATTTTATGTTTAAAATGTTTATTTTATTTGGGAAAAAAATAATAAGAAGAAGTTAATTGATGACTCCACACTGAACTTCAGTGTCAAAGCATTCTATAATAGTCATACTCTTATTTGACAGTGCGAATGTTACTTTCTTTGCATTACTATTATTACTATTGCCTAATACTTCATTGCAGCAATCATCTGGTTTCTTTTCTGAATGTATTTATCTTCTTTCATTCTTTACAACGTTTCTGTTTCTAGTCCTTATCTTAAACATTGTTATGTTGTTAAATTTTAAGCCTTTTTAATTTTGTGAAGGCAAAAAGTGGAAACCTGATAAACACATGTATATGTAAAAATAAAAAAAAATAAGTGGCAGTCAGAGGGGCATGGAGGCAGACAGCCTGGGTGCTAGGGTAGGATTTTTGTCATTTACTGGCTGTGTGTTTCTGGGTAAATTACTTGAGCTCCCTGGATCTTTATTTCCTCATCTAGAGAAGGGGGATAGTGGGAGCACCTTCCCTTTGGGTTGTTGGGAGGTAGCTGTGCACTAAACATGTAAAGCCTGTGCTCAGTGTGTCATGGTCACTGTGACAGTGGGGTGGGATTATTGTCCTTGGAACTGGTCTGTCCTCAACTCTGGAACTGGGGTAGGCACGCCATGGACGGGCACTGATAGGACCCCATGGGAGAGACTGCCATGGGGCCGATCTCATCGCCGTGACCTGTGACAAGTGGTTAGGGCCTCAGGCCCCAGTTCTCTCTACTCTAGCCACGAGGATGCTGCCTGCTGGCCACACTGCCTCCTACGTAGGAGGAAGGCAGTCTCAGGCTTTGCTGACCGATGCCTGCTGGCCATGGCAACTTTCACTGACCTTTGTCTGTCTTGGCTGTTCATTTCCAGAGTGTTCACGAACCCACAGGCCCCAGTGAAGGTTATTTGCAGCTGGAGGAGCTGGTGAAGCAAGTGGTTTCTCCTTTCCTCGGCATCAGTGGGGACCGTGGCTACTCAGGCGCCACGTACACACTGGGTAAGGCGCGCAGCCCTCAAGTGGCCGGGAATCTCCACCATACCAGCTATGTTTAACTGACACTGATTATATGCTGAGCCTCTTCCCGTGTGGGTCAAGTGCAAATCTGTGCTTATTAATCACTCACGTTCCTGGTCCCTGGAGGTCGCAGTAATCTCCTTCCTCCCTTGGTGATTCCTCCCCAGAGACCAACACTGCCTCTGTGGTGGTGCTTGTCTGATCTACATCTTTGATCTGTGGCTTTGATCTTATTTGTGTGCCTGGGACATTAATTTGTCTGTATTTGATAACCAGGAACTTCCTTGTTACACCCTCCCCACCTTTGGCGGAAAAACCACTCATGATGCATTTCCCTTTGAAAGCAGCTTGGAACATGGAGCCGGCCTGTTTTGTGTGTGGCCAGATGCTACCAAGTTGCTGGTACCCAGTCCGTTTCAGCAAAGAAAGGGGCCCCCAGACTTGGGGATGAATCCTGTTGGGCTTGTTTTGCTGGCTGGAAAGTTAGCATCAGTGAGCGTCAGGCTCTGTACTGGGCACCTCAGAGAATCTGGAGATGAATCAGATCTCCTTCTCTCAGTGAGACCACAGTCTAGACAGGCTAGGGAGAAATAGCTATGTAATGTAATAATATAAAATAGCTTGCAGTGAGACCACAGTCTGGGTGTAATAGCTGTGTGCTAAGGCTTATAATAAAAGATACTATCACTGTCTGAAATGTTAAGCCTTGAAAATGCAGGGACTTTTTGTTCATTATGTTTGTTCCCAGGGATGGTGCCTGATACACAGTAGGCACTCCAACAATATTTGTTCAGGGGGGCCAGCATCGGAAGCACATACCCAGGTTGGGAACCTGTTGCCCACTCTGCTTACTTTGGTGGAATTGTAGCTGAGCCTCAAAGAAATGAGCAGCCTCCAGCGAGATTCCTGGGCCTCTCTCTCTACTGCAGAAAAGGCAGGGCCGGCCAGCAGTTTGTGCAACCCTGGTGGTGTTTCTTGTAACCACAGCATCACATATTGCAGAGTTCTGGCCCCAGCCTGCTGCCTGCTGGTTCTTTCCCCTCCTTCACTGGCTCGCTCCAGCCAGAAGCTGAAAGTAGCCAGAGTTCCTTCCTCTGGAAGAAAACAGTCTCCTGTTTGTGTCCCCCAGCCCTGTTCTGGGCACTATATTTTGGCTGAAGCCCAACTTTCTGCTGGCTCAGCTCACCAAGTTTGGGGAGCTGGGGGGATCCAGGGAGATATCAGGACATCACCATGTCAGCTGGGTCATTGCAGGGACACCACCATGGTTTGGGCCTGCAGCCACTCTAGGGGAAGCAAAGTCGTCTTTCTTCAACTGCCAAAAGCTCTTAGAACAGACTCCCTCTAACAGATTAAGGAGAAAAAAACAGACAAGTTTATGAACATGTACATTTCATATATACCTGGGACACACTCAAGGAATGAATGGTTGTCTAAGAAGTGGCTTTGAATTTCAGCTTATAGAGCAGTGACAAGACAAAAGAAAAGGACTTTAGGTCCGTAGGGGCTGGCAACTTGTGGGAAGACCACTGAGAGGCCGGTAAGGGTTAGTGAGGCTTGTTAACGTAGATCCCAGACAGGAAGGGTCTACAGCTGTCTCCTGCTTAACCCTGGTCCTCCCTGGTAGAAACAGGGCAGGCAGGATACCTTTGTCATTTTAAGTCTTTGTGCTGCTTTTAAGAGAATAGAGGGAGGGGGTGGCTCCTGTGGCTCAAGGAGTAGGGCGCCGGCCCCATATACCAGGGGTGGCGGGTTCAAGCCTGGCCTTGGCTAAAACTGCAAAAAAGAAAAAGAAAGAAAAGAAACTAGAGGGAGGACGGAGAGCTGACCTGTATCTGCTTCCTGGTTGCCTTCAGCCTAACAGTCCTCAACCCTAAGGGACATATTTGGGGGTGGCGTATTTGGGTCTCCCATACTGGAAACAAGAGTAGATTTGGAAGTTTGTTTAGGAAGGACTCAGTGTAAGAGAGGAGAGTTTTCGTTTTCTAGCTAAAATAAGAACCACACACTCTAGTCCAATTATAAAGTAAAGACTTCAGGTTTTTATTCTTGTGCTAAGGAGAGTCCCTGCCTCTGGAGAGTTGTCTTAGTAGAGACAGAAGGAAGGACATTGCCCTTTTTTTTTTTTTTTTAATTTCAACAAATGTGTGATAAGACCCTGTCCCAGGTACCTTATATGGTGCTATAGCTATATCCTCAAACAAAACCAACTCATCCCTGCCCTCCAGCACACTTCCCAATGAGGAAGTCACCAATGAGTCAATGACTCAACGTGCAAATATTCTGAGGGGCCATGGAGCCCATGGCAGCGGCCTTCACTTTGACGAGGAAATCAGGGAAGGTTCCCTGGAGGAAGTGATGTCTGTGATGGGACCTGTGGGATAGATATGAGGTGGCTGAGTAAACCGGGAGGGAAGAATATCTATCCCAGGCCAAGAGGAAGACTGTTGGGAAGACTTGGAGGGCAGGAGGTGAACAAGAGGTCAGAGCATTTGAGGAACTGAAAGAGCTTCAGAGTTGCAAAGCAGCTCATGGCAAGGGAAGCTCCTGGACTCAGGCCATGTCCTCAGTACTGCGCCAGGTGGGCTGGATGCCAGGCCCCGAAGCAGGTGCTGCTGCTCCCGCTTTACAGGGGAGGCAGGGAGGATTCAGGTCACTTGGCTGTCGTAGCCAGGCTTCCAAAGCTCAAGCCATTGGCCCTTTCTCAGCTGGCCCCTGCCTTCTCCCATCACTGCCCCCTGCCCTGTCATCAGTTAGGAGGAGACTTTGAGGGGCAACTGAGGAGCTCCTTAGCCCAAGAGGTATCCCAAACCAGACATTTTGTCTCAAACCTTAGGGACACCAAAAAGATAAAGTGGTCACAGTGGTGCCCTCCTTACTGAGGACACCCCTTTCCAGATGAAGACAGGACTCTTGGGGCTTCAGTCAGCCCTCAGTAAAATGGGATGATATTTCCCCTGCCCGGGGGTACTGAGACAACTGGTGGAAGTAAGAACTAAGGAGTGGAATTGGGTGTAAAAAATTCCTTTACCTGTGGTGGCAGGAGCTGTGCTGTGGCCTCCTGGGGCCTGAGAGGGGTGGGAATAGCCAGGGGCAGCTGGGGGGATCTGTCCTCTCAAAGGCCACCATCCCCACTGCACAACTGACTGTCTCTTAACATGCATCATTCTTGCTGAGGCTGGTCCTGTGGCACCTCAGTCTCCAGTGAGTGAAGTGGTTTTCTCGTGGGAGCTTCTCCCTGTGCACAGGTACCTGCCGGGCCTTGCCCTGGACCCACAAGCTGCCTTCAGAGAGAGAAGCTGAGTTGTCTGGGCCCCTGACAGAGTGAGAGTATGTCCTCCCCTCCAAAGAGGTCCCTCTCCTACAGCAGTGGAGGTGAGGGAGGGGAGTGGAATTGGAAAACAGAAAGCAAAAGGTAGGTTCATCAGGGCCCGGTCCTTGTCCCACCTCTTGAGTCCCCCCAGTTTGCAAGCTTTGTCCCTGCTGTTGCCTGGGCCCTCTCCGCAAATGCCAGCAGCTGCTGGGCTCCCCCCAACCCCGCCCCATTGAGTGTCCAGGGGGAGGGCCCTTGTAACCTCTCTGCCTGCGTGACAGCCAGGCATTCATGGCTTTCAGGTGCCGGCCCAGAGAGCAGCCCCACAATGGGCTGGGTGTGCAAGGGTCACAATGGCTGCATTATGGTGTCTGCTCTGGTGGGGCCGGCTAGCAAGCCTGAGAGATCAAAGCCCTGGGAACTGAGTCCCCAACAAAGGGCCTGAGGACAGCTATACCGAGGCTTTGCTTCTCTCTGTGCCCTTTGAAAGGAGCTGCTGTGGCTGGCCCTGGTGTAGGGGCTGAATGCCAGAGCTCAGCGGGAGCTCCTGGTGAGTGAGAAAGGAATAAAGGCACCCCCCACCCTGAGTGAAAGGCCAAGAGGGGGAAAAGGAGGTGGCCTGGAGGTACCAGCTGAGGTGGCAGGTCCCCGCCCTCCCTGCTAAAAGGGCACCCCTGCAAGGCAAGGAGCAGTTTGTGGGTCCCAGGGGTATCCACAGGGTAATGAATCCCTTAATGAGATTCCCTTCTCTGGGTGACGGGATCCTGCCTTCCCTTAGGCAAAGAAAAAAGGGAAAGGAAGGGAAACAAGAGTGGGTAGTTCTCTGTCAAGCCCAGGCCTAGCACTGAGTTTTAAGGCCTCAAGGAGCCCAGTGGGACTCGCCCACTGGGGGACAAAGCTGGCACACTTACTCATCTGAGGGTTGGCTCTGGATTCTGGCAAGAGCTTTGGAAGGAAGCACTGTCTGTCTGCTCAAGGGACTCAGCATAGCCATGTGGCCCCTGTGGTCTTGGCTCTCCCCACACCCAGTCTTGGGAACCAAAACATTCCACCCAAAAAGCAGAAGGAAGAGCCGAAGGTCCCTCCTGTGAGTCATAGCAGGGAGAGAGCTGTGGAGGCAGCCTTGGAAAGAGCAGGGGCCTGAGAAACCACAGGGGCGGGGGCTCAGATGTGTGGCCTGGAGCAAGTTACTTAACTTCTCTGAGATGCAGAGGGCTGAGCACAGAGGCCCTGTCCTTCTGTACATCAACAGCAGGAGGAAGAAGCTGCCACCTACTATGTTATGGATGCAGCTAGAGGTGGCCTCACCCTGTGGAATCACTCTGGGGGGAGGTATCTGTGCCTGCCTCTCCCTGGGGTCCCAAACCACATCATGGCGCTTGCCATTCTGTGTTGCCATGGTCTGATTATTTGCAGTGTTCCCTGTAGATTGAGCTTATTGAGGGCAGGAAATATACTGCTACCATTTATATCCTGAGACTTGTCACAGACCTCTCCTGGGAGGGAGGGAGGGAGTGACCAGTCTGAATGCAGTCTGTAAGTCACTTCCTGTCTGAAATGACTTTTCCTCTTCCTGTGAATTTCCAGGATGCTCCTGTCTATACTTCTTCCCTGACACATGCCACATTAGCATTGACCTTGTTCTGACAGTTACATACCATGTTTCCCC